ATGTTTGAAAGCCAGACGTTATCCACTTACAATCCGAACCGAAGAAGACTGCTAGATGCTTTTGGTAGTCTACGCATTTAATTCTTACAAGTAACACAAATTTGTTTTATCCGCACCAGTTAAGCTTATATTAAAGATAAACAATATACCGTTTTTGTTTTTGCAAGATTGAATTTCACGCCCGACCCCATCACTTGTATGGCTTATGTACAATCATTGCAAGACTCTTAACATATGTAATAGCATGATAAATGGGCATAAAGAGCCTCGTTTTCGTGGAACAGAACATTTGACGAATCTCAATGTATTTATCCGGTAGCCATTTTGTTATATGACTCGATGCACCGAGTAATGTTAAACAAATATATTTTCTAATCAAACCTCAAATAATTCTAATTTTGTTGTAAATATGTTTAAAAAAACCGTCATTTTTTCAATTTCACGAAAAATGTATTTTTTTTTGGATATGAATTGTTTACACTAATGCTGTGTTTAAACTCTCTCTGCTTCCGAACACACAAAATGCAGAATCTGCCAACATCTATAAACATGTAAAAGTGTTTGTACAAGTGGTAACATGTACGTACAACACACCAGGACGTATACTCTGTATCTAGTTGAGTTATTAAAAGCTTATATTTTCGTCGTTTGTGTTTGTCCTCACTTCTCCCCAAGTATTTCTGATCCCAGCTAAAGCCGCACTTTTAATATCTACGTAGGGTCAACAATTTTCTCTGGAAGTGTGTCGGGAAACATTTCTTTATGGCCGGGGATAAACAACCCTATCCTGATAAAACCTGTTTATGAAAATAGTCTCCCACTTTAACCGTTAATATAACAAATTTTAATATTTCATACGCCGATACTTGTATCTTTCATCGGCTATTTTTCACTTTCAGGAATTTTCATCTCAAAACCACTGCAAAATTTAAAGCTCTTATTTTAAGGTATTTATTTGTAAATGAAACACGTTACTCACCTGGCAATGGTCTCCATCTTCCAGTGTTTCTATCATTTTATCACATTGATGTATGGTCTATTTTCAGCGTTGTATTTTCTAGTCTTAATGGCGATTTATGATTCAATCTTTAAGTTATCAAAATCTTCATTTGTAAACGAGAAACGTGAGCTGACGATGCTTTGGTCCACGTGTTTATTTGTCTATGATGGATTTAATCAGGCGGATTTGTATCCATTTTGTCTAAAGTATGTAATCTTCAATGTACATTTTACCATGCGGATCAGTTGTCAGCAGTATCCCTCGATATAATATACCGTACTTTTTAAGGTGGCTACTTTATTAGTTGATTTTGAGGGTGTGTTGTTGCCATAGATACAACACTACATGTTTACCGTACATTAACATGTGAATTCTGTGTTCTATTTAGTTATGATATACAAGTTGTAATCAGAGTGTTTTATTGGGTCTGAATTCACTGTATCCCTCTTTCATCATCATTTGCCCTCTGTTATAACAGAGTTAAACAAATTGTGCGTACGTAGGCTACACATGTAAATGTTGGAAACCAAGAATTTCCCTTCAAAATCTATTATGCAATGCTTATCGCTGTATTGGATTTCGTCTCACGTCTGTGTTCTATTGGGTGTAGTCTCACGTCTGTGTTCTATTGGGTGTAGTCTCTGTCTGTGTTCTATTGGGTGTAGTCTCACGTCTGTACTCTATTGGGTGTAGTCTCATGTCTGTACTCTATTTGGTGTAGTCTGTCTGTACTCTATTGGGTGTAGTCTCACGTCTGTGTTCTATTGGGTGTAGTCTCACGTCTGTGTTCTATTGGGTGTAGTCTCACGTCAGTGTTCTATTGGGTGTAGTCTCACGTCTGTGATCTATTGGGTGTAGTCTCACGTCTGTGTTCTATTGGGTGTAGTCTCACGTCTGTGTTCTATTGGGTGTAGTCTCTGTCTGTGTTCTATTGGGTGTAGTCTCACGTCTGTACTCTATTGGGTGTAGTCTCATGTCTGTACTCTATTGGGTGTAGTCTCAAGTCTGTGTTCTATTGGGTGTCGTCTCTGTCTGTGTTCTATTGGGTGTAGTCTGACGTCTGTACTCTATTGGGTGTAGTCTCACGTCTGTACTCTATTGGGTGTAGTCTCACATCTGTGATCTATTGGGTGTAGTCTCACGTCTGTACTCTATTGGGTGTAGTCTCACGTCTGTACTCTATTGGGTGTAGTCTCACGTCTGTGTTCTTTTGGGTGTAGTCTCACGTCTGTGTTCTATTGGGTGTAGTCTCACGTCTGTACTCTATTGGGTGTAGTCTCACGTCTGTGATCTATTGGGTGTAGTCTGACGTCTGCACTCTATTGGGTGTAGTCTGACGTCTGCACTCTATTGGGTGTAGTCTCACGTCTGTGTTCTATTGGGTGTAGTCTCACGTCTGTGTTCTATTGGGTGTAGTCTCACGTCTGTGTTCTATTGGGTGTAGTCTCACGTCTGTGTTCTATTGGGTGTAGTCTCACGTCTGTGTTCTATTGGGTGTAGTCTCACGTCTGTAGTCTATTGGGTGTAGTCTCTGTGTGTTCTATTGGGTGTAGTCTCACGTCTGTGTTCTATTGGGTGTAGTCTCACGTCTGTGTTCTATTGGGTGTAGTCTCACGTCTGTGTTCTTTTGGGTTTCGTCTCACGTCTGTGTTCTATTGGGTGTAGTCTCACGTCTGTGTTCTATTGGGTGTAGTCTCACGTCTGTGTTCTATTGGGTGTAGTCTCACGTCTGTGTTCTATTGGGTGTAGTCTCACGTCTGTGTTCTATTGGGTGTAGTCTCACGTCTGTACTCTATTGGGTGTAGTCTCAAGTCTGTGTTCTATTGGGTGTCGTCTCTGTCTGTGTTCTATTGGGTGTAGTCTCAAGTCTGTGTTCTATTGGGTGTCGTCTCTGTCTGTGTTCTATTGGGTGTAGTCTCACGTCTGTGTTCTATTGGGTGTAGTCTCACGTCTGTGATCTATTGGGTGTAGTCTCACGTCTGTGTTTTATTGGGTGTAGTCTCTGTCTGTGTTCTTTTGGGTGTAGTCTCACGTCTGTGTTCTATTGGGTGTAGTCTCATTGTGTAGTCTCACGTCTGTACTCTATTGGGTGTAGTCTCTGTCTGTGATCTATTGGGTGTAGTCTCACGTCTGTGTTCTATTGGGTGTAGTCTCACGTCTGTGTTCTATTGGGTGTAGTCTCACGTCTGTGTTCTATTGGGTGTAGTCTCACGTCTGTACTCTATTGGGTGTAGTCTCACGTCTGTGTTCTATTGGGTGTAGTCTCACGTCTGTGTTCTATTGGGTGTAGTCTCACGTCTGTGTTCTATTGGGTGTAGTCTCACGTCTGTGTTCTATTGGGTGTAGTCTCACGTCTGTGTTCTATTGGGTGTAGTCTCTGTGTCTGTGTTCTATTGGGTCTATTGTCTCACGTCTGTACTTCTATTGGGTGTAGTCTCACGTCTGTGTTCTATTGGGTGTAGTCTCACGTCTGTGTTCTATTGGGTGTAGTCTCACGTCTGTGTTCTATTGGGTGTAGTCTCACGTCTGTGTTCTATTGGGTGTAGTCTCACGTCTGTACTCTATTGGGTGTAGTCTCTGTCTGTGTTCTATTGGGTGTAGTCTCACGTCTGTGTTCTATTAGGTGTAGTCTCACGTCTGTACTCTATTGAGTGTAGTCTCACGTCTGTGTTCTATTGGGTGTAGTCTCACGTCTGTACTCTATTGGGTGTAGTCTCACGTCTGTGTTCTATTGGGTGTCGTCTCTGTCTGTGTTCTATTGGGTGTAGTTTCACGTCTGTGTTCTATTGGGTGTAGTCTCGTCTGTGTTCTATTGGGTGTAGTCTCACGTCTGTGTTCTATTGGGTGTCGTCTCTGTCTGTGTTCTATTGGGTGTAGTCTCGTCTGTACTCTATTGGGTGTTGTCTCACGTCTGTGTTCTATTGGGTGTCGTCTCTGTCTGTGTTCTATTGGGTGTAGTCTCACGTCTGTGTTCTATTGGGTGTAGTCTCACGTCTGTACTCTATTGGGTGTAGTCTCACGTCTGTGTTCTATTGGGTGTAGTCTCACGTCTGTGTTCTATTGGGTCTCTCTATTGGGTGTACGTCTGTGTTCTATTGGGTGTAGTCTCACGTCTGTACTCTATTGGGTGTAGTCTCACGTCTGTGATCTATTGGGTGTAGTCTCACGTCTGTGTTCTATTGGGTGTAGTCTCACGTCTGTGATCTATTGGGTGTAGTCTCACGTCTGTGTTCTATTGGGTGTAGTCTCGTCTGTGTTCTATTGGGTGTAGTCTCACGTCTGTGTTCTATTGGGTGTAGTCTCACGTCTGTGTTCTATTGGGTGTAGTCTCACGTCTGTACTCTATTGGGTGTAGTCTCTGTCTGTGTTCTATTGGGTGTCGTCTCACGTCTGTACTCTTTTGGGTGTAGTCTCTGTCTGTTCTCTATTGGGTGTAGTCTGACGTCTGTGTTCTATTGGGTGTAGTCTGACGTCTGTACTCTATTGGGTGTAGTCTCACGTCTGTGATCTATTGGGTGTAGTCTCACGTCTGTGTTCTATTGGGTGTAGTCTCACGTCTGTACTCTATTGGGTGTAGTCTCACGTCTGTGTTCTATTGGGTGTAGTCTCACTGTTCTCTATCGTTTATAGTTTCGAGTCACGATAAAAATGATCCACTATTGAACCGAGATCAGACGAAGAAGTGATACTGACATGTTACCAAAAGCTTAATCAAAATTACACTCAATTAAAAAAGAAAGACTTTCAAAGACACTTGTGAAAAATGTACAAGGATGGAAAGACCAAGTGTTTCTGGAAGGGTCTCATACCTCATCAACGAGAAATTTTCGCTTTTGCATTCACTGAAGGAACAGATTATAACCATCTAGAAGATGTCTCATGATTGGTCAGCATGTCAGAATATGATCAAACCCAGATATAAACATGTTTTCGGTGTAATTGAATGGTCATAATTTGGTCTTTTTAAAAGAAGGAAAATCGTATAGAAGTAACACATGTGTATTTTGATATCGAGAATGATTTATTTCATTTCATACAAACGGAATTGTTACACATAATGACAGCACATGAGGTACAGTATGCATGACTTACAACATTGGACCAAAGAACATGCGAGTTGTCGCCCTTCCTCACTGCTCTCCCATCTCTATAATTACTTATAAACAGTGGATATCGCCAATTCAACCATTCAAATATGACGAGAGAGTACAAAGACATCGGACGGAAAATGAAATCAGTATATGATGAGCGATATAAAACACCACTGACTGAAGAATCACTGGATATCGTTAAATAGACTTTAGAGTCATTGGACATCGTAAACTAGAAGTTAGAACAACCGTACATAGTTAACGAGACGCTAGGACCAGTGAACAATGTTAACTAGACGTTAGAACCAGTGGACTTTGTTAACTAGACGTTAGAACCAGTGGACTTTGTTAACTTGAAGCTAGAACCAGTGGACTTTGTTATCTAGACGTTAGAACCAGTGGACTTTGTTATCTAGACGTTAGAACCAGTGGACTTTGTTAACTAGACGTTAGAACCAGTGGACTTTGTTAACTAGACGTTAGAACCAGTGGACAATGTTAACTAGACGTTAGAACCAGTGGACTTTGTTAACTAGACGTTAGAACCAGTGGACTTTGTTAACTAGACGTTAGAACCAGTGGACTTTGTTAACTAGACGTTAGAACCAGTGGACTTTGTTATCTAGACGTTAGAACCAGTGGACTTTGTTATCTGAATGTTAAAAGCACTTGACATCGTTAAGAAGACATTAGAGATTACTTGTTGTGACACGAGTCTAGATACAACATCTATTATTAAAGGGAATATTTAGAGGGAAGAACTGACCTTAACATTTAATAATTATGATTGGATTCACCGCGTTCTCACTATCAAAAGCGAATGTCATTGACGTCCCGTCATCTTTACATGGTATCGGGAAGTGACTATTTACCTACACTTTGTAATACATACAGATATGTGGGTATAGTTACAAACGTTAAGGAATATAGCATATTGTATGGTGATTAATAGTTTTGACTCGATATATTTTGGTATTATCTTTGGAGATAAGAAACTCCGTCAATGATCAATGACCGATTACTGTCAATCACCAAAAGAGAGATACATTCACTCATTTTTGTTATTTCTTCGCTGAATGTGAATTTAAAGCTTCCGGTTAATTTTAGTACTATACTGAAGCGTTAATGTGGAACATAGTTACAAGGGGATGAGTACACATTGACGTCATACATATGTATACATGACATACACTGACGTAGGTAGGGCTGGGTACATATATATTTTTTTCAAAATGTGACGTCATTTGCATGTGAAGGTACAGTAAATAAAGTGATAGGTATAAATTAACCGTGACGTCATACATATCTATAACTAAATAAATGCAATACGCGGATGCAGATACAAGGAGATGGGTACATAAAAAACTCTGACGTCACCTGCAAGTACATTAAATAAAGTGATACGTGTCAAATAGATGTGACGTCATATAGATAAATCTATCCCCAGAGATGGAATCGGCATACAGAAAAAAGAAGGAAAACATGTTACGTCACAAAGGTAAGAGAAATGTATGAAAAAATCATGGTTCTATATTTCTGAACACAACCCATATTTTATGTTTTGAATCCATGACTTTTAACGACAACAACATGTTTACAACACCAAATAGATCATGTTTACAGCGGACTTCGGACTTTTAACATACTGTAATGCAGCCAGAAATGGAGCACACGAGTATTTTTACATAATGCTTAAAATTGTATCGATCAACATTCCATTTATAAAAAAACACGATGTGTTGAAGCAGGATATTAAGAGGCTGTTTTATATTTCTCTGACTGTTCGACAGCTGTAAATTGTCTGGAAATCGACATTGAGCTGAATCTTCTGCAATAAATAGCCTATACCTTGACGTGTGCTGTGTGACCGTGGAAATTTACAGGTATGTATAATGAGCCTGAAGTAAAAGCACGTGTTTCTGGACAAGAAAGGTTAATGTCACTTCCTAACGTACAGCGACAGATTTTTCATTTCATACTGCAGAGGCTACGCGTGACACCAAATACCTTTCTGAAACATGTAGAATCATTTTGGTGTGATGTTATGCGAATTTTGACTGATGCCCCCAAATTGACGTCCATTGTGTGAAAAAATGTGTTCATATTCTGTTCATAAATTCAGCAAATATATTGTTTTGTCAGAAAGTAATATTCTGTGATAAGTGTTGTAGTAAATTATATAACGTAACAATGTGAATATTATTTTTATTTTTATTATGATGTTACCGTCGTAATATTTGTAATATTTTATATTGCGCTTTACTACGTGTTTTAAATGGTGTAATGGACAAGAAGTTCAGAATCGATTTCAACCCCCGAAACTGCCTTGGAATGGAAAAGATCATTATACACTATACAATATAGCGAGTTTATGGGACATACACGTGCATCCATTGTTGTAGGAACACATACGTTTTGGCAATATTTTCTTCTACATCAACTACAATTATTATTTGAAGCTGTTTCACATGACATTCGACATAGAGGAGATGAAGATTGATACGTCTATATACAGGGACAATCTATAAATACACTGACATAATAACGATACAATGGCAATTTAGCGAGGTCAATATTGCTCAACAAGGCTCGTTAGTAAATACAAAATTAGTGACACGATACAAATTAACGTTTACAAATCCCGTCATGAAATATAAACAGAAAGTATGACAAACAGACATGCACATTTAAACTGCCCAACACATGTCACGTAATCTCAGGCGTTATACCCTGCCAATATATTTGGATTACGCTTGCACCAACTCCAGCCAATCACATTCCTAACATTCCTGCTCTTACGACATCAGATCCCAGTAGACATGTACATACAAACAGATTCGCTAAATCATTCCACTTATCTTACACACAAGCTCGTGCACACAGACAAAAATTTACCGATTCCATTACATAAAAACAAATATGATCGTGCACACGTACAAACAATAAAATATTCACATCATTTTAAATAAAACCCTTTTCTGTTAAAATAATATCCGACATCGTTTAGATATACACTAGATAAGAAGTCTAAAGAATTCTGACGTTTTGTCAGACCAGCTAGATAAGGTTGGTAACCAAGGTGTCACGTGATCGTTACGAATATACGAATAACAAACTGAATACTATCAAAATCAAAGACGCCCGTCGTTCATTTCCCGATTTCCATATTTATTGAAACGGATTATTTTCAGAACAAAACAACAACAAACTTAGATTTAAAAAATCAAAGATAACCATCTATTGATCTGTTTTGTTTTTCTGATCAGCCCCACTATTAAACATGTATAACGAGTTGTCTCTGTAATCTACACCCCTAACATGAAATTTGATAATAACCCATAAAGTCCTTCTAAAGAAGTGATCACAACCGTCCATTTTGTTTTTCAGATCAGTTCCAAAACCTAATATGCACCACAGAAACGATGAGAAATCACTATGTGGAATTTGAGAATCACCAGTCAAATGGTTCACTCGGACGACATTTGATTAATGTTTAATGTGTCCATATTATCCATTCCAGTTCAGATAGTATACCTTTGTTGTGAAGAATTATTAAAGAAAACACATATATTCAGGTCTTCGCTATCTCCTTAACCAATGGTATATTCGTCATAGTTTCGGAATTTACTGGAGCTCAAGTTAATACATGGATTATCATTATGTCATTGCCGAAAGTTGTAAAAAGCTTTGCCATGATTTTCAGATAATAGTGATCTGAGATAGTTTACGAAACATTTTTACCTAACTGCTTTTCATTCAGATAAAACTAAAATATAAATGAATTTATGATGTAAGTAAACATAAACATACACAAACATACAAACAATATATTTATAACGGTCACATGTAACTTTATATTCAAAAGGAAGGCCGCTTTTCACCTACAAATAAAAACATGACTGTAATATATATATAATGTGCCGGTACAGTATGTTGTATATACAGAGGACATGGTGAATGATATACCAAACATTATCTAACAGATTTGGTACCAGTTGTTCAAACCTGTCAACTAATCAAAGTGTTACAAATAGGTCCAGGATAGCATCGAAATAAAACATCCTATTTGTATACATAAACAGTTATCTTATCATTAATGGATCACTTGTACAGTTAGAACAGCATCACTAGCAATTTAGTTTGAATAAAATTTAACCTTATGTTTGCAGTATTTTTAACGATTCGGAAAAGAAAGCACCAGTCATCATTATGAATTAACTTGGTTTGAACAACTAGTCACATGCTGTTGAGTACCCGGAATGTTACTGCTACGTTTAAATCTGTTTCCACCGTTCCTGTAGCACCATTGTATATTGTTTCACGTGAGAAAGAACTATAATCATGTTCAGTGAAACACTTTTCTTTCCTAAAATTCACTCAGTCTTGACGAATCGAACTTCTGGGCTTACACAAAGAGAAGTTACCTCCCTTTGATCACTCACGCCGTATAGCGAGGTCCGCAACACCATCTTGTTACTACTAGTATTTATGTTTTTTGTATCCCGAGGCCCGAATCACGGAAGCCATTGCATTGATTTTTACATTATGAATATAAATTTATTTTTAAATTCTGACTAAAAAAAAAAAGAATAATTCAATATTTGCAAACAAACAACTTTAAGATCCATTATGATTGAATTCCACTAAACAACTTTAAGTTGGTTTACTATGCGCGGGACTTTGCCAGACTGACGACCACAGCATTGCGGTATGTAAACACATGTTGCAGGAGAAAACACGTGTATTTTAATAACGCTCGTTCTACATTTCCGTCATAACATCCTCCATTTGAATTGTAGGTAACGTACTCATGATCAGAGAACACGTGGGTAACGCTGGTGCCGTGTGCATCCTTTGAAGATGCCGTTTCTCTCGTGCCACCATGGTAACTGAGAGTTTACGATTGTAGTTTTTATAAATGACACTATCCTGTGGTCGCTTCACCACTTTGATGGACTCGAGGTTTTTAGGTGAATGTCGATACCGCGGTTCCATCGGTTGTAAAATCCGTATACTGTCCCACTGTCTGAAGAAGAGTACCACGGCTACAATCCAAATAGCCAGCAAAATGATGATAATGATGGCCTCCTCCGGGTACACAGAATTACGGACCACGCGCAGGTAGTTCTCTGTAACACACAAAATATATACATTCATTATCAGATGTTCTTGGAAAATATCTGGTTCATAATGATAGATGCATTTAGTATGTCAGGTACCTGTATAGCTAGATTGCAGAGTCTTTACGTCCGGGATAAAAAAAACTACCAGCAAGCCAACAGAAGTAAAATCCAAATTCGAACTCAATAAAACTAAGGCACGATATGGACAGAAGAAAGATTGAAAAAAGCGAGGAGAATAAGATTAGGTGTTTCGGAAGAGTAAACGTGTTTATGTTTCATCGAGCCAAAGCTATGTTACGACGAAGGGAATACAGGTTTTCAATTTAACATACGATTTCCGAGACAATCCACATCCACATTTGGAAATATTACATGTACTATCGAGATAGTTAAAACGTTATAGGGAAATTTAATAAAAATATTTTTCTTTCTTTATTTTTTTGCAATTTCAATGCAATTATTATTATTATTTTTAACGATCCGTCAACAGATAAAAGGCCATTAGGGCCATCAACCGGTAAAACACACAGCGATCAAAAAAGGAAATTACATCAAACAAACTAAAAGGTAAAAGACTAATGCTGAAAATTTTATATGGCTATATTATCACAAAATATTAAAATAGTAAGTCATCTTCTGTAATGTAGATCAACATCTTTCAGATAACCTAGAATTTTAAGTGACCGTAATTGTGTTCTCTGTCTGTCTGTCTAGTTGTCTCTCTCTCTCTCTCTCTCTCTCTCTCTCTCTCTCTCTCTCTCTCTCTCTCTCTCTCTCTCTCTCTCTCTCTCTCTCTCTCTCTCTCTGTTTAACTGACTGTCTGTCTGTCTGTCTCTGTCTGTCTCGCTCTATCTTTCTGTCTCTCTGTCTCTCTCTCTGTCTGACTGACTGTCTGTTTGTCTCTGTCTCTCTCGCTCTTTCTGTCTGTCTGTATGTATGTCTGTTTCTCTCTTTCTCTTTCTGTCTCTCTCTCTCTTTCTGTCTCTCTCTCTGTGTAAAACATAAAGTTACAACAGTAGCAAGCATCACTGTCAGATTCAAACAAAACGCTCTTTTCCTTAAAATTACAAAGGTAGGTCGTTATTTTACCGCTGTGTCAAAAATAATTTTTAGATTTAACAGACCATGTCCAGAAACATGTTCAGTAATTATCAAATACGTTTAAAAAGAATAAAAGAGACTTTGTGTTTGATAAACCAGATATGTATTGTTGTTTTGTTATTATTCAGAGAGAACAAAGCATTTCCAGATCAAACAATGGACGAATGGACCATGTGTGTTTCTCATTCACTTTGTTTGCCGAACCATTGTTTTAGAATACAAAAACAGAAAGCTTCACGGGGGGTCGTGTATCCCTTCTCTTCACAGAGTTTGCTGGTAGTCCCTTCTAATAGCTTTAAAACAAATAATAAAAAAGAAATGTTGGGATGAAAAAATCATTGTCCGACTGAAATCATTATCAATGTTCTGTTCTTGTTTGTCATTTAACAATTTACATTGTATCAAACCCTTGCACAATAAATTATGTGCACCGACATGATGTGGTGTATGAGAAGTATAACTGTTCTGTCAGGATCTGTGTTACATAACAGGTCAAGGTCAAGGTCAAGACTGCTTCAGAACCAATTAATATCCCACTTATTGTAATTTTTCAATTTTTAAGAGTTTAAAAGAAATATTAAATTATGTTTAACAAAAGGTCCCAGCATCATCTCAAGTACTGAGTACAGAGATCAAATAGGATAGTCTCCTTTATATCAATCTACTGATGTCGTCCTTAAAGGGATCGACGATGTCGGGCGGATTGTTTAATAGTTTTACTCATAGCTGAGATTTCCTGGCACACGTAGTAAAACGACCTCAGCGAAAAACCGGCTGCATTCATAATCTGTGTAAATTTTGATAACTTAATTAAAAGAGTAATACTAAATGATTAAGATATTGGAAATTGTGTTTGTGTTTGGTTAATAACTTTGGAGCGACATATACGGACATGCGCAAAACATCCAAGATCATCTTCCTGTTATATACCTCTCGCCTTAACTCCACTAACAATGATCATTATTTATATACACAGACAGGATGTAAAGGTAGATAACTCTGACTAGAGTCACATCTTCCTGTTATATACCTCTCGTCTTAACTCCACTAAGATTTATCGTTATTTATATACACAAAGAGGATGTAAAGGTAGATAACTCTGACTAGAGTCACAGCTTCCTGTTATATACCTCTCGTCTTAACTCCACTAACAATGATCATTATTTATATACACAGAGACAGGATGTAAAGGTAGATAACTCTGACTAGAGTCACAGCTTCCTGTTATATACCTCTCGTCTTAACTCCACTAAGAATGATCATTATTTATATACACAGACAGGATGTAAAGGTAGATAACTCTGACTAGAGTCACATCTTCCTGTTATATACCTCTCGTCTTAACTCCACTAAGATTTATCGTTATTTATATACACAAAGAGGATGTAAAGGTAGATAACTCTGACTAGAGTCACAGCTTCCTGTTATATACCTCTCGTCTTAACTCCACTAACAATGATCATTATTTATATACACAGAGACAGGATGTAAAGGTAGATAACTCTGACTAGAGTCACATCTTCCTGTTATATACCTCTCGTCTTAACTCCACTAAGAATTATCATTATTTATAAACACAGAGAGGATGTAAAGGTAGATAACTCTGACTAGAGAGCAGGTTACAACAATCCTTATGGTATCAACACTGTAACTAACTTCATTCCCATTCAAAGGACGTATAGGTTGATCGTTTATGTTATCATAACTCCGCAGTAGAACATAAAAACTGAAGAAAAGGGGCAATTTTTTAAAAGAAACTTGAACACGTCGTCCTCATCGTAATTATATCAACAGCAATTTAGAGAAAGTATTTTGATGTTTAACATATGTTGCGTTTCGTAAACATCAAAATGATATAGCGAGGATCGACGATATCTGACAGTGTTAGTGGTATTAAAACAGCTTAGTAACAGGACACCGACATCAACTAAGTTATGATATCTAATGACTCAAACATTATGAGATTCATTGAAAAAATATACTGCATGATTATCACGTTAGAAATGACGTCAGGAGCACATTCTGATGACGTCAGTATATCTAAACATTGTATGTATTGAGTGTCTTCCAATAACACGGTCAGATTGATCACTCTCGGTTGTAGTCAACTTCTGGACACTTTGAGATAGTTTCGGTGTGTCTTTAAATATATCTACAAAATATTTATATGATGAAGAATCAGTTAGCATGTACATGGGATGAAATGACCATCTAGGAGTCACTATAGATATACATTGGTTGTTCTACAGCTGACAAGACTTGGAGCGTGTCTTGTTGACACAGCTGTTGTTCTGGTTTACATGTTACATGGAAGATGTTCTGATCGAGACTAGAGCAGGTTAATCTGAATAAAGAAAAAACTCTCATCTACTTCATGAGTTCGTGTTTAATTCTCCACTCAAGCGATATATTTATTATACTATCAGAAGGTTCCATGTAGTATCTACTGGAGTGTGATTGTATAACATAGTATCTGTGATAATTTGATAGTGTGTGTTTGTATAACATTGTATCTGTGATAATTTGATAGTGTGTGTTTGTATAACATTGTATCTGTGATGATTTGATAGTGTGTGTTTGTATAACATTGTATCTGTGATGATTTGATAGTGTGTGTTTGTATCACATTGTATCTGTGATAATTTGATAGTGTGTGGTTGTATAACATTGTATCTGTGATAATTTGATAGTGTGTGGTTGTATAACATTGTATCTGTGATAATTTGATAGTGTGTGGTTGTATAACATTGTATCTGTGATAATTTGATAGTGTGTGGTTGTATAACATTGTATCTGTGATAATTTGATAGTGTGTGTTTGTATAACATTGTATCTGTGATAATTTGATAGTGTGTGGTTGCATAACATTGTATCTGTGGTAATTTGATAGTGTGTGGTTGTATAACATTGTATCTGTGGTAATTTGATAGTGTGTGGTTGTATAACATTGTATCTGTGGTAATTTGATAGTGTGTGGTTGTGTAACATTGTATCTGTGGTAATTTGATAGTGTTTATTTGTTTGAATGTTCTTATTAACATGAAATATAATTAACTGCCTTGATCTTTAAAACGATCTAAGCGTATTTGAAGAGTTATTTTTCCTGTCGTTAGATAGTTGGACAAGAAGAAGAAACAGCGCTTTTATGACAGCTGTGTCAATAATGTCTATCAGTGGCTGTCATTGATTCCGATCAAGACTCCGAGACATGAAGACATCACACAGACGCATTAACTCTGTATAATCACTTGTTCAACAAAAAGTTTTACATTTTTACAATACCTTTTACTTCAAATCGATACCAATTAAGGTTTTAAACAATGGAATCACTGAGTCGTCTCTGTATCACAGATTAGGGACGTCGGTGTGACTAAACAAGGCATATGATTTAATTTCTCGTCGTGTGATGATTGGCAAAACATGTGTTGTCCTAGTTTTATGATCCTAAGTTACCAATAAATAAACAATCTGACATATTCATAATAAAAAAATATGCAATTATAGAAAATGTGAATGAAATATCAAAACCTGTTCAGATCATTCCAAAATGTAAGCGTGTACTTTACATTTTTATAAAATACACGACATTTCTTCGTAGTTTTGGTAACTGCCCAAGACTTTTCTATATATAACAGTAATATCAGAAAAAATCTTTGAAAGTTATTTTGATATCGTTAAGTAGACAAAGCTGGTCTTGTATCAATGTTGATGATATCTATCATAGGTCTAGATATACTATCTCTTACTGACGTTCCTCCCAATGGAGCGAAAATGTCACTCAATTCTGTCTCGTACAACTATTCCTCACAGAACTGGTATCATTTTCAGGTAGTTCTGACACAAACATTTACCATCGTACCGTACAAAGCCTGTCGTTATTTCATTTTTATACCTCAGAACAACAC